GCTCCACGAGAATTTTTATTTTGACACATTTCTTTTTATTTCGGTAAAAAGCAGCAAAAATAATTTCACTCCACCCTTATTGGAAGTGAATTTCCAGAGCCAAACCTATCATCTTGCGGGGGGGGGTGGAAAGCATGCAGAAGGAGGGAACACAAGTACTGCAACATGGTATTCAGGAAGACTCTGTATTTCCATTCTGGGAAAAGCTTTTTTGTCATAGGTAAACCATTTCAAGGATTTTTTTTCATTATGTACTACTTGAGGTTTCAAAACCAGAATAGCTGAAATGCTACTTAACTGGCAAACAGTTTGCTTTTCATTTGCTGAATACGCACTACACTTGAAAGACTAAAAAGTATTGTAAAAAGAAAAGCTGACGTAAAGTAAGTGCCGGGAAAGGGAAGAAACAAGTACCAGACATGCACAGTACAGCAACTGATGTTTAAAGTTACGCTTATCCTCCCCTAATGCCTTAATTACCCAGGAGGATATAGCCAGGAATTGCAGTTTACCACAGTCCCAGCGCTCCCCCAACCCGCACCCTGCTTACTTCGCTCACCACAGCTACAGGTCCCTAATCCCCCAATGACCCCTGCTCCTCTACCGCTCCTCTCCCCCCTGCTACCTCTGCTTATTTCTTACTCCTTACTCGACATTTCCGCATTATACCCTTCTCTGCCAGGCTTACCTCAATGGAATTTGTCTAAATCCTGAAACTAGTGTCTTCATGTTGGTAACTGGCAGCATCAATAAAATGAACACAATAAAACCCAACCACAAACCTGCCTGCATGCAGGGTGGCATACCCTTCCCGGCTTTTGTTTATAGTCCCTTCACTTTTTGACTCTTACCTTCCCTTGCATAACACTATCACTTTTGTTACACAACACTGCAAACAACGTTTGGGCGGATTTTTGCTTGGGGGGAGGATTGCTTTGTCTTTTAGTGGTTTTTTTGTTTGTGATCTCTCCATTTTCAATGGAAATAAAACTCCATTTGCATGCAGGTTTGTAAGGATCCTCTGTACTAGCCTTCTTTCCTTGTAAATTAAGTCATCTTTTGTCATCCCAAACACCTGAAACTTTCTTGTTAATAATGAGATTCCTGGAGACCAGGAGAGGACTTTTCCTTTTTTTTTTTTTTTTTGCTTTCAAATTCAGGGGCCTACAAATAACATTTCAAATTAATCCAGCTGTTTCCAGTTTATTCACAGATTAACAGTGTTTCAGATAAGCTAACTTCCAATGTTTATTCCTTGTCTAGAAGGCATTTCAAAAGCAAAGTCACTGGCAGCAGGAAACACCCAAAATTAAGCTCAGCAAGAATGTTCGAAAATACTGTATTTCAAACTGACAAGAGCTGCTTTAAGGTCTCTTAGAAAAAAAACTGCAGAAGAGATGGCAGCTACACGAGCAAGCTTGATCTGCCTACAACACAACTGACAAAACCTGGTTTCCTACAGCTTTGTGTTGTTTGCCCCGTAATCCCTAGCTCCTCTTGGACAGCCTTCCTGATAATCACTGGACAAAAATAAAACGGTGCTCTGGCAGACAGGCACTACTGCGGCACTGCTGTAGCTGTGCTGCCAGGACCGACAGCCACCCCCGAGCTGAGCGTGCAGGAGCTGACTCCTGCCAGCTTCTCTAAGCCCTGCCTGGTGAGAAGCATCCACTTGGGTATACTTTACCCACCCCTCCCAATTTCTACAAAACTTGCAGGATCATAATGATTTCTAAGAATAGAGACAACAGCTCAACTGCATAATCTGCATTTCCTCACAGAATACTTTGCAGCAATGACTGCAAAAGAGATATTATTCCCACTGGGTACGTCCTGGTTAGGAGTATGAAAGAAAAAGGAAATAAGTCCATATTTAACACACCTGGGACTAGCTTTTAACGAAAATAAAAAAAAAAACACATCCAACATCTCAGTAGGCAGCTTTTGTTTTCATTTTGAAAGCAGCCCAGTTACTCATGACGAGTATTTAAGCATTTTAGTATTTTGTTCTATTAATAGACTGGAAAAAAAAACCCAAACAGGATTATGTGGGGAGTCTCAGCTTTCAGCAGCACTCACTGTGCAGGCAGTACTATATAGATAAAACTGCAAACTCCAATGTTTTGCACTCCCCAGAAGATAGAAGCACAAATTCCTCCCCTTTGAAAAAAACCAAACAAAACACAACAACAAAACACACGCACACCTAAAAAGGATCTCTCTTTGAACAGTAAGATAACTCAATTTAAGACAGACCACCCAAACAGTTTTAATCCTGAAAAACATCAAAAAGGACATACTTCAAGTGGAACTCATTGGTATTCATTTATGATAAAATCCATGACTCACTAAAATCTCTGAACAGGGTTGTTTTTCTCCTTGTTCATAACTGCTTCTGAACAGAGGATCATATATTATTTCCAAGTTTATTACCATGCCATCAACTAATTCCTGTTCAGTCTATAATATCATATATTTGAAATGTATTATATGAAGCAATTTTTAATATATGTTAAATACTTTTTGTAGTACAACAGGTGCCTCTGTAAGCAGGCTGTACATATGTCTTTAATATAAATATCTGTAATACTTTTAGATCCATTGTAAGGTCCACATCAACATTCCACTTATCCTTTTGAATTTCAGTCTTTGAAGAGAGGGCCATAAAACCTGGTTTTAAACAAGAACCATTCGGCTCTTAGACATTAATTAAGATGACTGGAATTTAAACTCCCCAAAACATTTACAAGATTTCACAATGCAGACCAATAAGGAAGGAGAGTCCTAAGGCACACAGCTTAGCTTTCTGAGTTGGTACACCTACTTGCACTATAACCATGCTTTATCCAGTTTAATTTTTAAGATTTCCTTTTTATTGAATCAAGCACAAAAAGGAAATATCTACCCCTTTGACAAAAAGCAGACTTTGGATTTTCTTGGGTTTTTTTCTTTTTTTTAATTGGTTACGTTGCTTCCCACTGCTGAGGAGTATCAAGTACCATAGTCCCTGCTACATTTTATTTTGGGAAATGCTTCAGCATTTTGCAACCAGGGAGCTCATGCACAAAGTGGATTAAAAGACTTGCTCAAGACCACACAGGAAATCTCAAAGAAGGCTGAGGGACGCACCTGGATCTGAGCTGCTTTCCAGAGCTTTGCTATCTACGTTATCTAAAGTATTCCGTTTTATGAGTAAGTGGTCTGTAGTCTGGGAAGCCAACTTGGTCAGGGCCACTCGAAGGCAAAGGAATCTGTGGCAATCTGTTCAGCTTGATTATCAGAGGGACGTTTTAACCCAGGAATTAAAAAAAAAAAAAAATTAAAAAAAAATCACACATGAAAACGTAGGCTAAAGTTTTCCACCCAGCTACTGACCCAAACGTTAGAAGATAAGACAGACAGAACAGGGCAGCACAACGCTATGCACCCGCGCCCCTGGGGAGCTGGCGATACCAGGCACCCCGCGCCCGCAGGTCTCCCGGCACCCCCG